ATGTATGTACAAAGTTTGGTACGGTGTTTTTCTGTTTGTAATGATCTCTAAAACTAATGAATAGATTTTGATGCAGTTTTTCCTACTGATTCTTGTTAAAGGTTTGAATGTAATTCAAAAAGAATTTAGTATCTTGCTTAAGTTGTGTGCAGGAAGTTTGTTTCTATATTTTATCATCCTTTAAGAAAATGCGGAATCCTTTTTTTCTCTCTAATGCCATTTTTAAAGGTTAAGCTTTCATATCAACAGCTCTTTAGTGTAGCTAAACAACTATTTAAATTGGCAATTTAAATATCTGTCCTTGTCTTTAGTTCAGCTTTCACTAAACAAAATGTTGTTTTATGAGGTCAAGTTTAGATTTAAAAATCGGTATAATTTCTAAATAAAAAAGTTTGTCGAAGTCTATGACTTTTTTGTGAGTTTTATAAATCTTTTTATTACCTACTTCAACTTTTTTGTGGTTTTTTAATGCTGCTTGTAAGTGGCCAGTGTTCAACCTACCACATTATGTAGAAAAATTATAACTTAGGTATTTCTTTTTTTAATTTTTTTTTTCATTACAGGGAACCATGGAATTCGCAAGAAGCATGTTAAAGTTTTGGAAAAGGAAGTGGGTTTTGAGTCTAGTGGAGGATTAAATGATGGTACAAAGCAAACTTCAAACACTTTGAACAACAGTGGCAATGTACTGAATAATTTAAGTTCTAATACACATAGTTCCCAAATGAAATTGAATGAGAGTTCTTCCATCGCTTTGAATACAATTGTGAGTATGTTTTGTTTTATTAAAAAGTAGATATAATGTATTAGTAAGCTGAACTGGCAGTGGGCTAGTCACATTTTTGGAGAACCTATGACCATTAGGATTGACCATGTTATAGAGTAGGGATCATGTCTATTCAAACATAGTGTTAATGTATGCAATGGTAAATAGGTGGATGGAAATGGTAATAAAAAGGTAGAACTTAAGATTTTTGTTCAGTAGTTTACAGTAGAGCTTAGATGTTGAGGCAGCCTGAAATAATACTGAGCCGCGACGGGGCTCCAGCTCTACGAGCAGGCGTAGGAACGGGGTGATTTTTCGTCAGTAAGAGTCTGTAACTCCCTCTCGCCTCACCTAACGCAGGAGAAGTCATTGGATGATTTTCGCCCCTCAAAAAAAGCCAGCAATAATTATTAATGTGTTATCAGCTGAAACAAACATACTTATATTATGCAGGCATATTACACATACTTATTATCCTTTATCAAGCTAGAGATAATGGAAAAATTATGTTAATATAAAACATTGGAAATATCAGCCAGACAGAATCAAGTTTATTATGAATCAAATGCTGGTAGAACTTGTTGAAGGATATGTGTAATGTGAAATGAACCTTATTACTAATAGAAATAAAGTTACAACTTTATTACCTATTATTATTATACCTTAACTACCTATTACTGAGTTATTTTCAAATGATACTTATTGCTTAAACCTTCGTGGAATGAAATGCGATTCGTATTTTGTTTGTATGACATTCATTATTATGCAGCTTGATGCTTGAATGTTATGGTCTATCAGTACATGAATTTTGATAAGTGCAATGTTTCATTTGAGATTAACTAACATATCAGTTGCATAAATTGATAAAGCGATATTGTTTTACAAAAGGTAATTTATTGTTACCATAATATCAAGGCTCTAGTTAAGACCTCGATATGTTAGAACGAAAATTAAAAAAACTGAATACATAGTACTATTTTCCGGGAATTAAAATGAAGTCAATCTTATTTGGCGATGAAGCAATCATGTCTATAAAATAGATGTAATTTTTTATACTATTGAAATGCCGAACAAGAGTTATGATTTGCCTAATAGAAAATTCCCTACTACATGCAAAGCCCACTTACCCCCCCCCCCCAATGCCCACAATCCTTGAATCCCTGAATCTCCAATAATCCTCAAATTCCTCTGGTTTACCACGGGCGGCGCCGATTGCTTACCATCAGGTGATCCATCTGCTCAATTACCGGCTTATTCGGCATAAAACCTATGATGACGGTAGAGCAGGGTACATTTGTCACTACCCCTTTACGGTTAAAGTACTAGTGATTTGGCAGCTAGCTCTGTATGTGTCTCAATCTCCAACCCGCTTATGATATTATTGCAAGTCGTTTTACGCAGACCCGTAGTCCAGCAGGAGAGTTTCATGAACTAAAGATGTTCTGAAGATAGTCCTAAAGATGTTGCTTGCCGAACTTGTTACAATTTTGTAATTATTATATTTCAGCCAAAACCCACCGATACGCCAGAA